ACTTCTAAACATTCACAACAGTACTAATATAGTAGAATTATTTCTCTTAAGATATGCTAAAAAGCCAACACAAACCCATCTAAACGTTTTTAAAAGCGCAAATCCGATAATGAAATGGAAAACAGAAAGAGAATCCCATTCATCTCTTGGGAGATACGGGAGCGAATTTAAAATTCAAATACCCCGCACGCCTTATCAATTACAAGTACTAGGCGCGCAACAATACCAAGCGGTGACAATTCCTTTCTTAGAATTTGCATCTTCATACAATTGCAATTAGGGACCGCGCGCATTAATTCGCCGTCCCAACTCCCAAAGCACACCGTTTCAATTTGACGAAGCTGAATACAGCCTTGTAATGCTAAGCTAATGTAATTATGGGACATTTGCATCAATGTTATGGGCCCCTGGTGGTTCTCGCCGTTACTTTCAATATAGTATCGGAATTAATTTGTTTTGTTACTCATTCTGTGATACAACTTTGTTACTTTATCATGGAATTCACACGTCGTGTAAGTAAATAAGATATTATTAAATATTCGTTAATAATAGGCTGCTTCGCTTGTTGATAAGGTGCCCTTTTAGGCCTTGCGCTAGTCCGGTTTTCCCAAAACATAGCGATATATTTTTTATGTGAAATATCTAATGCAAAGGGTAAGGAGTCACGACATGCGTCGCCACGCTATGTGATAATGCGGCGTGGCAACGCGTCGCCATACGCAAGTGACTCGGCGTCTCTCCCACGCTGATTATCGAAGTGATTTTATTCACATTATTTCTACAAAACAATTTCGATGTTCACATCTGCCTGGTGTGCTCTGCAAGTATTTTTCCCATGACATTAGAAGTAAATATTAAGTGTTTTCCCAACAAATACCTATGCCAACCGCCTTATTATTCCGAACATCATTTTCGTGGCTGTATTTCTGTCAGTCCTCGCGGGACTAGCATGCATATATAAACAAACTCGGAGCCAGCTCACTTCATGTATTATTCCAGGAGCCACGCCACCGTTACACTTCCAACTTGCTGAATTTCTTAACACATCTTAATATTTGTTCCGTGCTAGTAGATAACTTGCTACTCTGTCCCTTGGCGGTGGAGGATTACATGTGTATTTTTATTCTTGTATTTTGTACGCTGTCACCGAAATATTTTGGTACTTATTAGATACCAGATTTAGCTCGCGCACGCGATTTAGTTATCGCCTATGTCTTTCCTCAAGAATCAAACTATGTAGATACCAAATTTCATCTAAATCGGTTCAGCGGTTACCAATTCCCTATACGAACTTCCACCCCTCTTTTCACTCCTAAAGGATGATTTCTGGGATAAAAACTAGCCTATGTCCTTTCCCGGGACTCGAACTATCTCTATACCAAATTTCATTTAAATCAATTTAGCGGTTTAAGCATGAAAAGATAACAGATAGACAGACAAACTTTCGCATGTATAATATTAGTTTGGATACTGTTACGTTATAAAATTTGGGGTTTTACCTTAAAATATCTGCATTTTTTTTGTTTATTTTAAAAGACAACTCAAGGCTGGATACTGGGTATCGAACCCACACAACCCGAAAGCAGCGAGGTGGTCGCTTAAACTCGACATCCGTGCTGTCGAGAATGAGTAAAAACATCATGTTCTGAATAAATAATCCGACTTATAGCAGAAATTTTTGCATTTGGTGTTACACGCTTCCGTCCCATAGATCGTAGGAAAGCGACAGGAAAGACTTACACATAAAAATATTGAAATAGTTTAGTAGATCCGTAGGGTGAAAACACTACCGTCCTATTTGACGAAATCAATACCCTAGATTGTAGCAAAGTTAGAAAAAAGATGGGAACACATAAAAAAATAATTTAAATGATAAACATAAAATATATTCGGACAGTCACACGTCAATGGAAAATAACAAGTATGACAGCGTAATATACCCCATAATTACATGGTTTAATTGTATAGCGGTACCAGGCTCGCATAACGGGAGAGAGCCTCAGTGATAGACAAAAGCGCTTCAACGTCGACCCCTGACCTCGTCACTCAACAGTTCCGTATGTACCAGGAGGTCAGAAGTTAATTGCAGTTAAGATGAGCCATGTGATTTAAGGAAGTGTTAGGAGATGACGATCCGTAGGTGGATTTAATTGCTTAGAAGGTTTTATTATCCAGTAATGACTAGAAATAAATGCTAATGTTTACTAATAATGCCATAAAAATATTTTAAATGTTATGAAATGGGTATTTAAAAACTATAATGTCCAAAGTAATATGCAAACGAATGAAAAAAGTGGTTTTTATTTCTTGTTTATTACCCTTTTTTAATGGAGTTTACTCCTTATGAATCTACTTACATATAAGGGCCCGGTATGAAAAAATATGAAGAGTAAAATTTTGTGATCGAATGACCTCGTTAAATTTTTGTAACGAGGTCATTCGATCACAAATTTTTAATCTTTTTTTTTTATCTTGCGCACCTTCCACATTTTTTTGTATAACTTGGAATATCCTCAATTGTTATGATAATATCAAATTTAACATTAAAAACCACAAATTTTCTTAAAATAGAGGAATACAAAAATATTTTTGTTTAGTGGGAATCGAACCCTAACGCCATGTCACAAACCTTGAACTTCAAACGTTACTAGGCAAAAAATTAAACCAGCTGTTATATAATTATATGCCACATCCATTTTGTCGTAGCTCTCATCTGCGTAGATAACGCAATATAATTTTGAGATGCTGCCTCCGAGCGGTGTCCGTCTTATTACAATAGTGCATCGTGCTATTTAAATGCTAATCAAGGTTTTGATTTTTATTGTTAGATTTTAGTGGATACGATGTGGTCTCAGTGAAAGCGATTAGCGATTAAGATAAAAAAAATTTAGAGAATTAGGAATATATCATGTGTCATGAGGGACTTTACAAACATTCATGAAACGGACCCAAAGAACACCCATACTCAGAACAACAATTTGCGGATCACACAAAGTGTTGTCCCATGTGGGGATCGAATCCACAACATTCAGCGCAGTAGGAAGTGGCGAGGTGACCGCTTAAACTACTACCCCATGCAGTCTAGATATTGATACTGGTATGCCTTGAGGATTTTGCTGATGATGGTCTATTATACGTACCTCTACGGCTTTCATCCCCTTTAAGTTTAATATAGGTGTGTTATATTAATGGGAGGTAGGCCTATTGCTATTAATAGCAAGCAAAGCGTCATTAACGCGAGCTAATCCATAAGTAAATACTATATTATTTTAAGCTCTAGTTATACTGGTCATATCGCTTGATAATTTAATATAAAAAGGTTTAAAACATGGCTTTTTATGACCTGAGTTTTGAGTCTAGACTTAAATAGGAATGATAATGTTCTGGGAGACGTATGTATATATGATAATGTTGAATATATCCTAATTGGTTATGCAATCACTTACTTAATATATGGTTTTGCCCCAGTTTTCCCATAAAAATGTCACGTTAATACCAGGAGTACAGAAAGTGTAGGTGTAGTTTAGGAAAAAACACGCTGTAGTATCCAACACAATTAGAAAGAAAAAAATATTCTTCCATTATCCATATCTCTACTGCATTTTTGTCTATTGGTTAGCGACCCTAACTGCTAATCCGAAGATCGTGGGTTCGATTCCCATCCAAGAAAAATAATTGTGTGATGAGCGCGATCATTTGTTCTGTGTCTGGATGTAATTTATCTATACCGTGTGTGTATTTAGAAATATATAAGAATGTTTATCAGTAGTCTGGTTACCATAGCACAGGCTCTGCCTAGTTCGGGATCAGACGCCCGTGTTTGAGATGTGTTAAATATCATTATTATTTTCAGGTCATCAGGTATAGACTAGAATTTTACTTCTATGCGTTTGGCCGTCTAGGTTAGAGGACTGATTCTACAAAGGTAAACGAATTCAATTCTACCATACGATATTATTATTTCATGACACATACGCGTATTTCAATTACATTGCTCAGTGTGGGTGTGTGGTTACGAATATGTGATAGTTGAACAGCAATAAAATGTAAAATGAATTGGGCCTCGTGCGTCAAGACAGTTCAAAAAAGGATTCGATTATTCGTTTTGTTGAGAATAACAGGAAAATGGCGGAGAATATGTTTTGTGTAATCGTTTTAAAAGCGGATGAAAATAATATGAAATGATTCATATTCGAATGCATTTTTTGACAGCAATATGTAGCAGGGGACATTTTAGAGTCCGAATTGTTAATTATACAAATGAGTTAGACAATATTTAATGGGCCTGTGTGATGCAATGATTGGTGATGCTGACTACCGAGCACAAAGGTCGTGGTTTCGATTTCCACCCGAGACAAATAATTGTGTGATGAATAGGAGCATTTGTTCTCAGTCTGAGTGTAATTGATCTAAAGTATATTTATCAGTAGACTGGTAACCATAGTACAGGCTCTGTCTAATTTGGAATCAGATGACTGCACGGATGGCGTAGTGGTTTAAGCGGTCACCACGCCGCTTCCTACTACGCCGAGTGTTGTGGGATCTACACTTAGTGTGATCCACAAATTGTTGTTGTGAGTCTGGGTGTCCTTTGTGTACGTTTCATGTATGTTTGTAAAGTCTTCCGCGGCACAGGATATGTTCCTAATGCGGGAGTTGTCTTTTTAAACAAGAAAAAAACAAGATGGCGTTTTTAAGTTATTATTATAAGCTACTACTTTCTTCAGAAAAACTTAGCATCAACGCTTACTAAACTTTACGCAAAAATTATAAGTGAAGTATGTTAAAGTAGGCCAAAACCTCCTTTCTAAGGAGAGGCCTATGTCCAGCAGTGGACTATTAAAGGCTGTTGATGATGATGGTAAAATAGAAAAGTAGTGAAGTATAGCTGAAATATTTAGTAAGCGATGCCACGATTGCTGCACTCCTTAAAACTGATCTTTTCTAAATATTCATGTCATTGGAGACATTTTTATTCTAAAATAAAACTTATTACTCACCAATTATTGACTTGTAGTATTGTTAACCCTGTGTCCTGTGCTAATTGTTTCTTTTGGTCTTCCGAGGGGTACGGGTGCTGGAACAAACAAACAAACAGTTAAAACAAAATGATACAAATACAATTTGTAAAGTATCCGCTGCGAAAGACAAATTTAAAGTGAGAACAAAGCGGGTCTAACCAAATTGAGTTTAGTCAATGCCATTGTAAGTGACCGAATTAGATTTTCAAAGGATTTCGGCTTAATTTTGTATGTTGTTTTTTGTTTTACTGATTGAAATGTGTTTTAATTTGATACTGAGTTGAATTTTATTGTCCTGTGTTTACCAAATAATAATCAAGATTGTTGCTTTCTTTGGTATAGCGTGCAAGCGAACGGCTCACCTGATGGAAAGTGACTACCGCCGGCCGTGAACGGCTGCAACTAAGAAGTCATAAGCGCGTTGCCGGTCTTTTAGGTACGAGTATGCACTTCTCTTGAAGGTTTGAAGGTCGTATCTGTCGTAAACTTAATCCTAAACTAGGTTGCCAGAGTCCATGGAGCGCCTTTGACAACAATACTAATTTTATTTTAACTTCTATCTTGCTTACAACAAGAAAAACATCAGCTGCCAAAACTTCAAGTTAGTAACCCCGACGGTTGAGGCTCTGCGTGCGTCAGGACACGAATTCAATAATATATAGATGGATATTTCATGCAAATCTCAAAAAACATTTTCCCTAAAATCAACAGTTCGTATTTCAAGGCTGCTAAAATCACACAAATATTAATATTTGCATATCCACGTACTTAGTTTACGCAAGAATATTTACATTTCAATTTTTACTGAGCGTTATAAGACTGCATCATGTAATATAAACGAACTGTCGAGGTGCGTATGCGCCGTTTTAGGTTGGACATGTACTGAGTGCGTTCAGAATTTAATAAAGTCTAAAATTATCAGCGATCGTCATACTTATGTTGTGTTTTAAAACAACTAAGACACAAAATAGACAAAGCCTTAAAAGTACTGTAGTAGCTAAAAGTACTGTATTTCCATTCCTTCATAGTATACCTATACTTTCCGTTTGGAGACAAAAAAAAACAAAAATAACTGATATAATAATATTAATAATTTTCTACCACATTCACACAACGCCATATAATGCTCAGCTCTGCTTTGTTTGGGACTACCGTATATAAAATAATCCAACCGATTACCGAAATACATTAGGTTATAATTTCTAAGCTAAATTAAATATCACCGAGTGCAACACAAGCTTTATAAATACAAACGTGCGGTGGGTCGACTCCTGCGCATCGAAGCATTCAGTTTATTATTACAATAACGTGTATTTGGCCATTGTCGAATTGCACTAATGCATCTCTAATGTACGCGCAGGATGTTAGGTTTGTGTTCAAGCTGTTTGTTTGTCTGTCTATCTGTTTACTTCCAAGATGGCGGCCGATTTATAGAATATTACAAGTTATTAAACTTCCGCATGGGATTCGATTTATTTACATTTAAAGTTCTTAAGTGATTTTGCTTAATGAAAGTCGTGATGGTAGTTAAGTAGAAATGTTGTTTTGTAAGTTGATTTTGAATTATAAGTTAGCTTTCGTGCGTGAATAAAATTATTAAATAAATATTCGTTTTACTTATTTATTGTACGTCGAATTTTTATTGTGAATTTAACACGATTGTGACCGCGAATGACCGTCTTAGCTCCTCAGATTTCTGCTTAAATTAAAGTTGTTTTGCAGGGTTCAGCAACATGCTTTCATAATCATGGAAAGAAGAACATTGAATTTGAAGGAGTAAAGATATACAATAAATTACCATTAAATATAAAAAATGCTACTACATTGACTACATTTAAAAAAACATTGAAGAAACATATAGCAGCTACTTATTAGTTAATACATTATTATTGTACTAAAACATTCACAATCAAATAAACTAATAAGGATAAAAACAATTCTATATGCACATAATATTCGTGTGTGTGCGTATGTGTGTGTGTAAGTGCATGCAGGGTATGTGCATGTATGTGTGTGTGTGTGTATGTATATGTATGTGTATATGTACGACTATGCATATGTGTATGTTTCTATATTTACAAATATAAATCTTAATAAATAAATCAAAAAAACTAAAAAAAATAAAAAATAAAACAAAATCTCAAGTCTCAATCAAGTATCAAAAAAAAAAAAGAATTCAGTAATAAAAATAGAAGAGTGTACTTACCATCTGGATGCCACATCTAGTTAATAATTTCAAGTTACATCTTTGGTTCAGTTGCTTGGATTCCCATTGTTTTCTGTGTTCGAGTGTTTTGCAAGTTCGTAATCTTACGCAAAATATATTTTACTACCCACTTTTATTTTATATTATATTCAAACGCTCAATGGATTTATTTTTTACTTTTATGTATGTTTTCTCAGTAAGTGAATTTTGTAAATTCTTTTGAGAAATAAAGATTCTTAAACCGCATCATCATCAATAGTCTTTAATGCCTAGTTAACATGCGTGCCGAGGCTTACATCCATAAGCTGCAAGTCTTAACAAACGCTTGGCTGCCATTTACACGCTTGCGAGTGTGCTATTGTGTTCAGGACAGGCAAACATAGCCCACGTGGACATATATTTTTTATTCAACGGTGGCACTAAACTAAAAAAAAAATATTCTCTAACTCTTCAATCAGTAGAACATTAAGACTTAATGTTGACGGATTGTTATAGTGTTTTTTTCTCTTCGCAGTGCTGTTGTCCTAATAGTTTGCTTACCTTAGTCGCCTCTTACGATACTCATGGGATGATTAGGGGTGGTGACAATCCGTTTTCTTGATCCGTCACCACATGGATAACAACAACATACAAAAGGCGTAAATAAGAGAGATCACTAGACAATGTGTATTGGCAATTTATGATACTCTGTTAACTTCTATGTCCATTAAGGTTTGCCGAACCTCAGCTATTAAGTTTACTGTTGTAGGGTCTATTCTAACTTACTACATATGAGGTGTCTCAACTTTTTTCAGTTATAAAATTGCAGACACAAAAATTTCAAATACTTTTTCTTGCGAATCAGAAATGGTAATGCATTTGGAGGGCTTGAGCCCACCGCGTGTGTTATCACAAAAACTAATATATGATAAGCAAAGCCAAACGGTTCTTTGAACAATGAAGATGAATCATTTTTGTTTGTTTCCGTCAATATTTTGGACATTTTTTCTTATAATATTACTTTTTTATTTACTTCTAAATTTAATTATTACAATACCACCCATATGTATGTTCTGTAATTCAAAATGGTATACTATTTCAGGGTAACTCGTCGGTGATAACTAGGGTATTGACAGCTTTTGAGTTGCAGGTGTCTGTGGGCGGCGGTAGTCACTTACCACCAAGTGACCGGTCTGCTAGTTTACAACCTATACCATAAAGAAATTCATAGTCAAATTGTCAACAAAATTAATGTTTTGAAATGAAAGAGAGATGAGGAGAGGGGTATATATATATATATATTATTTTAATTAACAATCTTAAGAGTTTACTCATAACTGGTATTTATGGACGATATTTATTGGATTTATTTACAGAGGAGTTGAGGGAGAGAAAAGGTAGAGACTTCCTTATAAGGTAATAAAATTAAATATCAACAAAACAAAGCCAACAGAATTGTAAACAGTTAAATATATTGTTTTCCGAAGCTCTTATGCACCAGGGCGTCATAAACGCATAGAGATATCAAATTTCGCAAAAGCAATCCCGTGCTTCTCATCCGCTGTCGGCCGCTGTAAATCAAGTGTGGCCATTAAAATCACGATTATGCCCGCCGTAAGTTTGCAATAAATCCAAAATCGATGGAAAAAAATAGGGTCATGTATTAGCTAGGATTTGCTTTTAATATTTATGTTTATTTTTAAATGCGGTAATAATAATTTTGTTTAAATAAGACATGTAATCTATGAAATAAAAATGAATTAGTTATTAGATGGTCTAGTGGGTTGTGATCCTGGCTGCTAAGCGAGGGTTCGTTCGATTCCCACCCAGGACAAATATCGTGTGAAGACCGCGATCATTTTGCTCTATATCTGGGCGTAGTTTATTTAAATATATAGGAATGTTTATCAGCAGTCTAGTTATCATGGCATAGGCTCAGCCTGCTATGGGATCAGATGACTGTTCCATTACAAGTTAATCCATTATTATTTAATTAAATGTTAATATTAAGTAGTATGTCTATTTTATATCAAGAATTTGTGTGTCTGATTTTATCTACATAATATGTTTATTTAGCAATGACGTCAGCTCGGATAACTCCTGTAGAATGGAATATATATTACAGATATTTGTTTTTTAAATAGTTTACTTAAGATACTCATACTTCGAAAGTCATGTTATTGTGTAAAGAGTCTGCTGTAGTAGTTTGGTTTCACTTAACAAAAGTTTAAGTATAAAAAAATTAAAATTTAGTAACTGCCAACCCTAAGTTTGAAAAAAGGGATAGCAACGAAAAAAAATCCGCTGGTAACTATAAATTTTGTTTCGCAATGTGGAGGAGAAACAATCCATTTGTTGGCACCTAAATCTATGGGGTGCGCGAATGAGAATATGTAAATACGCGTTCTGGGACTGAAGGCGAAGAACGCGACTAAAAAGAACGACTTTTGGCGAATAAACTTGAGTAACGTCTTGATTTTCTGAAACATTTTTATGAGCGAACTTGAAAAGGATTGAAAACTACATTAGTGTTATGAAAAAGCGAAAAATAACTGACTTAAACCCGTTTAAATATTGACTTTTGGGTGATAGAGGTTGACCTTGCCTTGACTATTTTGGTGCCTGTATTTGTTTTTGTGATAAAATGAATATAGAAGTGGTATTGTATACTATGATCTATATATATCTACGGGCCTGTTGGTCTAGTGGTTAGTGACCCTGACTGCTAAGCCGGAGGTCGTGGGTTTAATTCCCACCCAAGACAAATATTGTGTGATGAGCACGGTCATTTGTTCTGTGTCTGGGTGTAATTTTTCTACAATATGTATGTATTTAAAAATATATTAGTATGTTTATCAGCAGTCTGGTTAG